GGGAGCCTCTGGGCGCTTAGGCCTGAGATTTGAGCTAAGTGTGTGGGGATCTGAGTTCCCGGTTGAACGTTGGGAAGCGCAGACCCGCCTCCCCTCTTCGCCGCCTCCTCGGGCTCGGGCTCGGGCTCGGGCTCGGGCTCGGGCTCCGGAGAAGTGCTGGTCTCGCCGCGGCCGGCAGACGGCAGTGGTTGCCCGTTGCCGCGTGCGCGCCGGCTGGCCAGGCGCTGCCCTTTCCCCAGTGGAATGTGGGTTGTCAGCTCCCGCAGGGAACCGGAGGGATGGGTCCCGTCCCTCCCCTCTCTAATCCTCAGCTCTCCCCCCCACCCGGAGCCCTGAGCCCTGGTCTCTCCTGGACGCGGGGGAAGGTGCAGGTGAGGCTGGGCAGATGGTGTGGACCGTCACCTAACTGCTCCCCGCCACCACCTGGGTGAGGTAGGGGGCTGAGGCCCGCTGCTCTCTGGATAAGGGGGAAGAATTTCATAATTAGCATGTTTGCTATTAGTGCCATTTTTAAGCACATAGCATGTGCCAGACACTGTGCTAAATTCTTGTATCGTGCATCATCTCTTGAAAGCAGCACGACAGACCTAGGAGGCAGGTGCTCCATCTCCCAGAGTTGCCCAACACCACACAACTAGAAGCAGGGTTTGCTCTTCAGGCCATGTGTCAGTTACTCCAACTGCTGCCTCTGTAGGAAGGTGAGTTGCCCACGGAATCAAGGTGAGTATGGAGGGGATGGGCAGGTGTCAAGCTGTGGACATCCGAGGGACCCGCAGGGGCACCCAGTGAACTCCTTTATTTTACAGATGGAGGAACAAGTCCAGAGAGGGGACAATGACTTGCTGAAGGTCCCGCAGAGAGCACATGGCCAACCACAACAGAGGAGACTTGGGCACAACAGGGGACCAGGACCCAGATCCTGGCCAGAAGCCAGAAGCCCCTTGAGGGCAAGGACTCCTTTCATACCCTTTCTTCCCTCCTCCCTCCCTGCTGGACCTAGCGCAGGGCGCAGCCCACAGTAGGTGCTCAAAAAGTCCTCCGTGGTGGGTGCATCTTTCATCCTGACATAGCTGCAATCACCTGCCATTCATGCCTTCCTTCCTTCGTCCAGCATTTCGTAAGCACTGATTGTGTGCTTGGCACCCTGCTAGACACGGGGCATGGTTGAATGACACAGTGTACTGTTGGCTTATCCTGTAGGGGTGATTTCAGGGGTTACCCCACATTATGACCCATGCTTCCATAGTTTTCCTCACTGTCAATGCGGGCTTCCTCTGTTCACATCTGGTAACTTGTAGTTTGCTCTCTGCCCTGGCTGGAGGGAGCAAATCTGCTCCACTTCCCTTCCCCGGGCCATTTCCACTCCTTATTCCTTGCTTGCCATAATAACCCCTCCTTTCAAGCTGCTTCCTTCCCCTCCCCACGCCGTCTTTGACTACTGTCCCCCCTGCCTGCTCTGTAGACCTCAGTGCGGAGGTCTTGAGCTCTGCCCAGGTATCTCTGGTTCTGTCTCTTTGTTTCTGTGTGGGTGTCCCCCCCAGGGATCCCCAAACATAGGGACCCCCTCCCTTCTAGTTGTTTTTTCTCAGGCCTAAATAGTCCAGGAGAAGGGGTAGGAAGGGGAGGTCGTGCAGTCCACCCCTAGCACCCAGGGCCTGTCCTGGGCTCTGGCCCTAGGACCGCCTCAGAGGAAGGTTTCTCTGGAGCCCCCAGGGTGCTGACTTACTAGTCCTGGCCCAAGACCCCTGAGCTCTGACCGTCCATGCTCAGTCCAGGGGCTTAGGCTGAGCACCAGCTGTTGGGTAAGTGCTCAACCCCACCACCCTTTGTGTCTGGGAATATGGGGCCTTTGGCCTCCATTTCTTCAACTCTGGGGTTTGCTCATTTGTACCGCCCTATGGCAGACAGTCTGCAGGTGAGAAATGATTCTGTGGAACCCAAATCCTTCCTTTTACCTGCTGCGTGACCAAAGTTACAGTGATTGGCCTCTCTGGGCCTCAGCTAATGATACCTGTCCTGTCTGTCTCACAGGTAGTTAGGAGGACCAGAGATCAAGGAGAAGAACGAGCCAAACCCAGGTAGGGGCTTAGTTTTGTTGTACTCAGAGCAGGGATGGCGTCCTTGGCCAGGTGTTCATGAATCATTTTGGAGGGCAGGAGTGGGAAGCGGGAGGAAGGAGGAAGCTTGCCCAAGGAGGGGGAAGCCAACTCTGAGTCTCCCAGAGAACTGGTCAGGAACAGCTAGTGGGAAAGGGGCAGGAGAATTTCCTTGTTTGGGGAGGGAAATAATTTTCTTTCTTCTTTCTTTTTCTTTCTTTCTTTCTTTCTTTCTTTCTTTCTTTCTTTCTTTCTTT